GTTAAGAAGAGAGTCTGACCCCATTAAGCACATCCTGATCTCATATAGCCTCTTATTCCTGGTGCTAACTGCTATGTTTTTCATTTCTATTCCTTTTATGTGTGTGTGCTATGTTCTTGGTTTAGGATGTTCTCCTAGACATACACTTCCTAGCTTCGATCCCACCTAGTATGGAGGACACATATTGAACTCAAGTGTTGTTTGTTACCTACTCTCCAGGGTTTCTACCTCCCACTCTAATGGTATTGAGTGTTTCCTCTTTTGTGCCTTTCACTAAATTGTACCTGTTTTGGTCAGTAGTACGGCTACATCTTGACTTTTCCACAGCAAAAACTAGAGCTTGACAGAAACTGGAATTTTTTTTTTTTTTTGCGTCAGTGTCTCTCTCTGCCACCCAGGCTGGAATGTATGTCATGATCATGGCTCACTGTAGCCTCAACCTCCTAGGCTCAGGGGATGGATCCTTCTGCTTCAGCCTCCCGAGCAGCTGGGTACAGCCGCATGCTTCAATGCCCGGCTAAGTTTTCTGATTTTTTGAAGAGGTGAGATCTTGTTATGTTGCCTAGTCCGATTTCAAACTCCTGAGCTCAAGTGATCCTCCTGCCTTGGCCTCCCAAAGTGCTGGGATTATAGGCATGAGACAAAGTGCCTGGCCAGAAACTGTGACTTGATACTAGAGTCCTCAATATTCTTTTTCATTCCATATCTAATCAAATGTCAGGTTTTGTCACTCTCTTTCCCAAACCTTGCCTCGCAAGACTCTTTAGGACCTAACTCCTGGCTACTTTTCCCCAGCAGCTCCTATCTCTCCCTCTTATTTACTATACTCCTATCACACAGGCTCCCTGTGCTTCACAGACTTGTCCGACATGCTCTTGACTCAGAGCCCTGGCACTTGCTTTCTCATCTGCCTGGAACTTGCTTGTTCCAAATATTCTAAAGTCTTGCTTCCCTTTCTCTGGCTTATTCTCCAGTGTAACAGCAGCTCTAATTCGATGTATTTACCCATACCTTACAAAACCAGCTTTCCTTTGTCTGAGCAAGTCATACATTCAGCCTATTGTTTTAGGTATTGTGTGGTAGACTCTTTGATTGAGGGTCTCCTTTTTTTTTTTTTTTTTTTGAGTTGGAGTCTCACTCTGTCACTAGACTGGAGTACAGTGGCCACTCCCGGCCATCGCAGCCTCGACCTGCTGGGCTCCGGCTATCCTTCCGCCTCAGCCTTCCAAGTAGCCGGAATTACAGGCGCGTGCTACCACGCCCAGCTGATTTTTTGATTTATTGTAGAGATGAGGTCTCGCTGCCCAGGCGGGTCTCGAACCCGCGGGCTCAGGCAATCCACTCACCTCAGCCTCCCAAAGGCGCGGGATTACAGGCTGAGCCACCGAGCCTGACTGATGGTCTCCTTTGATTACATTATACTGCTGTTGTCTGTTGGCTTATTACCCACTCTATTAGCTGTAAGCTCCACAAGGGATGTACCTTGTTGCTTTTGTGTACTGCTATGACTAAGTGCTGACATTAGTGCCTAGGACAGTATATACACCCCACAAATATTTGTTGAAGGATGTTTAGAGTAGAAACAGTGTACTATTGAACATAATATTCCCAGTCTCTAATATAAAGCCTACTACATACACATAATTTTATACAATATTAGCTAAATAAATGAAGAATGTGCTCAAGAGATCTATTGTACAACACTGTGACTATAGTTAATAAAAATGTTTTGTATTCTTGAAAACTGCTAAGAGAGATTTTAAGTGTTCTCAACACAAAAAATGATATGTGAGATAATGCATATGTCAATTAGCTTAACTTAATCATTCTACAATGTACACATATTTCAATACATCATGTTGCAAATGATAAATATATGCAATTTTTAATTTGTCAATTAAAAATAAATAAATAAAAATGAATGAATTAACTCATTGTCCATGTATTTTCCAAAATAATTTTAGGGATATCTTTGATGTAAATCAGAAATTATTCAGGTCTCTATCAGCCAGATAGTTCTCATAAACTCATCCCTCTTTTTAGAAATATACTAGGTGAAAAGATACCCACTGACCTGTTTCTCTCTCTCTCTTTTTTTTTCGGAGTCTGGGTCTCACTCTGTAACCCAGGCTGGAGTGCAGTGGCACAATCCTGGCTCATGTCAGCCTCAAAGTACTGGGCTCAGGTGATCCTTCTGCCTCAGTCTCCTGGGTACCTGTGACCACAGGTGTGTGCTACTTTTTAAAATTTTTTTTGTAAAGATGAGGTCTTGCTATGTTGTACAGGCTTATCTAAAACTTCTGTGTCAAGCAGGTCCCCTGCCTCGGCCTCTCAAATTGCTGGGATTACCAGCATAAGCCACCGTGACTGGCTGACATCTCTTTTTGGAAGAGATGTCCAAATTCAGTGTTGAAAACTTAACCCATACTCTTTCTTCCCAAACCACTTCCTCGTGTAATGTTTCCTGTTAGCACTGTTAGCAAGTGGCATAGACCAGAAATCCCCTTTCTTTGCATCTCCATTTTCAACTCAGCATCAAGTAATGTTGATTTTACCTCCTAAATGTATCTTGAATCTGTTCACTTCTCCTTCTTTCCATGACTGCCACATTAATTCAAGCTACATTAGCTGTCACCAAAACCACCACAGTAACCTACTTATTGGTCGTGAGCATCCTCTCTCACCAATCTAATCACCAATCTAATCTCTAATCAGTCACTTCTCTCTTTGTAAGCTTTTACCAGATTCTTTGCTAATAGGACAAAGTCTGAAATCTTTAACATGGTCCAAGAGGCCCTATTCATCCTTATCTTATAGCACATTCCACCTCACTGTCTGAACTTTAGTCACTGGCTTTGTCCAGTCACTTGAAACTGTGAGGTCTTCTTCCCGCATCACAGAATTTTTACAAATGTGAATCTCACAGCCTAAAACATTCTCCTAGCCACTCTTTACTCTTTCTGTACATATCAAATCGAACATCACTCCTTTTGCCATATTAAAATGCAGCATTAACAAATGATCTTTCTTGCCCTGCTGTGAAAGTCTCGGCCACTGTTGTTATGCTATTGGTTACAAAAACCTTTCAGTTTTAAAAATTAAAAGTAAAAGATGAGAGAAGATATGAAAGCAGGATTATCTTTAGGAAGAAAATTTGGACCATGAAGCAGGGGTGCAGGTTGGGAAGGAAGAAAAATAGGTGTTCAGACAGTCTTCCATGTACTGCTTGATTTTCCTTGTTATTATTTCATTTTGTTACTCCAACAAGAATTCATATAAAAGCATGATTCCCAGAATGTGGTAAGTCCTCAGAAAATGTTAGCTGTTGTACTCCATTTTATTAGTTAATAAATATCAGCTTTAAAGCTGGGCTCAGGTGGCTCAGCCTGTAATCCCGCGCTTTGGGAGGCTGAGGTGAGTGGATTGCCTGAGCCCGCGGGTTCGAGACCTGCCCGAGCAACTTGGTGAGACCTCGTCTCTACAATAAATCAAAAATCAACCGGGCGTGGTAGCGCGTGCCTGTAATTCCGGCTACTCGGAAGACTGAGACGGAAGGATCGCCGGAGCCCAGCAGGTCGAGGCTGCGGTGGCCAGGAGCGGCCACTGCACTCCAGTCTGGGCGAAAGAGTGAGACTCCCATTCAAAAAAAAAAAAAAAAAAAAAATCAGCTTTAAAAACGCCATTTTCTTTAACTGGCAATTTTTAATATTTATTTGTTTGTTTGTTTATTTATTGACTCAGGGGCTCATTCTGTCTCTCAAACTGAAGAGCAGTGGCACCATTACAGCTCACCGCAGCCTCAAATTTCTGGGCTCAAACGATCCTCCTACCTCAGCTTCTTGAGTAGCTGGAACTATAGGAATGTGGCATGCCTGACTAATTTTTTGATTTTGTGTGTGTGTGTGTAAATGAGCACATTGCTAGACTGTTCTAGACCTCCTGGGCTCAGGAAATCCACTAGCCTTGGCCTGCCAATGTGCTTATTACAAGTGTGAGCCACCATGCCCGGCCTCTTTAGCTGGTTATGGATCATACATTACACACACTTAAACTGAAATAGGTTATGGGGAAAGGGAGTAAATGCTGAGTTCCCTTTTACCATCACCATTGCTCTGCAAGGTAACATGGGGAACCTGAGGAGATTGCACAAGATTGTAAGTTTAAGGTTGCAAAACTAGACTCAAGGTGATGTTTGTCACACACAGGCCTTTGTTTCCTTCTATGACCTCTTGGTTCCCAGCATGGAGGTGATACTAAGTACACTGAAGAAATAGATGGTATGACTGGGAGAAAGGTTTATGTGCTTTTGAAATATAGTATTTTTTGGTGGTTTAATACCTAAGTTATTCTGTCTCAAATACAAGATTTTTTATAGTTTGGTTTTTTTTTTTTGCTTTTTATGTCCTGGGGTTATCCATTTTCAGAACCTTAGATTTCTTAATTGATTAAACTTTCACTTCAAAAGATAAAATTCCTGCTAGATAACACTGTTTTTACTAACTTATAAGTCTATTTATATGTTTATTTAATATCTGGCCTAAGTAGATATTTACAGTACACTTTGGTTTATAAACATTGGTTTCCTTATGGAATGTAACTGTGCCTCTTGCCACTAGAATGAGTTGATAGCATCTATCTTCCTCCTCATCTTTAGACATATTATTTACCCAACTTTCAACTTTTCCAAGACAAAGTAAAAATATATCTCACTACAATGAGAAAATTAATAAACAAAGTAAAAAGAGTCTACTTTTGAAAAAATATTTTAGAAATTCAGTTCTTTTGATTAGTAACCAACCTTAGTACCAGAAATACTTCAAAGTGTTCTCTAAACATTGAATTTTCATCAGTGATGCTGCAAGCCCTAGTTCTCATCTTTCATGCTTACCATTGCAATAACTTCAAAAGGATAAAAAGAAAGAATGGTAATCTCTCAAAGCAACCTTGTGCTCAAGCCAGTAATCGCGTATTTAGCTATCATGCATTCACAACTAGATAATTGCCTCATTAAATTATGTTTTAATAAATACAATAATTAACATTTTGTTACAAAAAAGCAAATACCCAAACCATTCAGAAATGAAATCCAGAGCCCAAGGGATTTCTAGAAGAAAATGAAAAAGAATTAGATAGCGTCAAATATAGACATCTTCAAAGGGAAACAGATCATTTAAACTTGCTTTTTACTTACTGAAATATGTTCTGCATATTTTATTGTTTTCATTATCTTGCTTGTTATAATCCAGCCAGTGAATGTTCAAAGAACATAAAATCCTACAAATAAATAAACTGAATATGAGTGAATTTACAAAAAGGCAACAATTAAGATCAAGAGTCTGACATGGAAGCTTTGATTATGTAAAGCAATTATATTTCCAGTGGTGTTCCAGCAACATATGATTATCAGCAGCAGGAAAATGGAAAAGTTTTAAGCTTCATGATACTTTCATGTTTAATTTTCAGAGTGTAAGTAACTTGGAAACCTTATCTGAATCAGCATGGTATTATCAGTCAAAATTGTAAGTGATCAACATTTTGCAGAATTAGATTGTAAGCATTCTGGGTCAGTGCAAGAAGTTGTAATAGATACCTACCCTTGAACAAAAAAATTAGATTTATCATCGCATACAATGTGGTCAGCAATTAGCTAGTTATCTGAGGAAATGCTGAAAACTATACTAGGCAGAACTTGGAGATTAGAGTGTGAGTGGGAGGTGTAGCTTGTGAAGTGGTTGCCTAGAACCAGAAGAGACCACAAATTAGGTTGCATTTGTGGATTTTGTTGTTTAGATCAGGGAGTATCATTACACCAATAGCTTTCTAAAGCTCTCTTGTCAGGAGAAAATGAAACAGAGACAGTATTTAAAATTTAAAAACATAATTTTCCTATCAATTTATATGTAGAGGAAAGTAATTCATCTTGGTAGTACATGTGAAAAAATTGTTTTAAAACCTATATTGACAAAAAGGCGCAAGTGTTTTATGATATGATGGTAAAAAGAAAAATTAAAAAATGAGTGGGAGATGTTAGTTATTCTCTGTGAAAATATTTCTTCCTTAGATGCTGGAATTTAAAAGTTATCCTTTTAGATGATTGGGGGTGTTATCTAGATCAGTGCTTCTTAAATTTATAGTGCACAGAGGAATCACCTGGGGCTCATCTGGGATGGAATTTAAGATTCTGCACTTGGAACAAGCTTTTAGAAGGTGCAGATGCTGCACTTTGCACCACATTTGGAGTTGAACCTAGATCAACCTTGATATTCCTACAACCTTTATTAAGCCTAGATTCCATCAGTCTCTCAAAAGCATGGATTAAAAAATACTTTTTTCCCCAGAAGAACATGTGTTTTAGAGGAATTTTAAAAATGATTAATAATAAAAACCTGTAATGTTTAAGATATAGAAAACTATAGTTCCAGTTTTGACAGTACATTTTGTCATCAGCCTGTTACATGGAATGGATGGGTAGGGCAGATTAAAGATGATCTGTTTTTTAATGTAAACATTCAGTGTGGAACTTAATCAGAAAGGCAAAATGAAGGTCATAGGGAAAGAGAGAGTGTGTGTGTGTGTGTGTGTGTGTGTGTGTGTGTGTGTGTGTGTGCGCGCGCGCGCGCGCGGGCAGGGGTTGGTGCTGAAGTGCAGAATAATCGAAAATGGGAAGAATGAGCAAAGGAAGGTTGACAAGTTGAAAGCACTGCCAAGTGGACAGAGGAGAATTGGGACTAGAAGAAATATTAGGTGACAAGCAAGGTTGGCGGAATTGGTTAGATTTGTAGATGAAATTGGGAATTGAGGGTAAGTGACAACTTAGTGAGTATAAAAACCCAGCACTCTGCAGGTATTAATTCTACTTTCTGCCAGTGAGAGTCCAGTAAGTTAAAATATTAACAATTCCTCTAAAGTCCTGGAGAAGTAGGTCTAATATATATGTATATGTATTTCTCTATTAAACTCTAAATTTCTGTTGGTGGTCATCAGTAGATAATTTTTAGTTCATACATTTCCTAAGAGTCTTTGCAAGAGACTCAGTGGATAGTGCTAGTTTTATTCCACAGGGGCATGCATTAACATAACCCTAAGATTTAGGCTCTTGAAACCCTGGAAAACAATAAATATGGAGAAGAACTTACATTCCTATAAAAATTCCATGAGTTTTTGTGGGTGCATTGAAAATGGCAGACAAAGAGGTAGATATTAGAGGGGAAATTAGGAACAAAGATAGCCAAGTGTTTTGGCACAGGTATTGCTTTACTTTTGTCCTATCATCAATCTCCATATATCAAAGAAGAAAAGGTTTTCCACAAAATTGTAAGTTGGAAAGGAAGTACAAGGACATAATATCTTTGTAACAATAGCAACTGATAACTATTAAATAATCGTGCTGTCTTACGTATCTATGTACATATTGCAAAGGCAAAAAGGCTCACTTTTCATATTCTGAATATCCCTGAGCTCAATGTTAAGCAATTTGCCAGTTCTGATCTTTACCTGGGATAAATCATGTGAGATTTATATTTGCATATTTTTTGAAGTGAAAATATACCAAACATCTTAATTAAGGTTGAAAGCAAAGGGAGATTTGGTTTTTGAGGAAATAATGAGTGGGATGTAATGGGGCATTAGTCTTTGAGGAAGAGGGGAGATGAGATCACCAGAGAGGGGTTGCCTGATAAAAATGTAGGCTTCTAAATGCTGATTTCTGAAGAAGGTTGATTCCAAACTGCCCTCTTACGCATAAAACATACTCTTTGGGGATAAAAACTGTGAAAATAGAAGTGGCTCTATAGTAATTGACAAACAAGAAGGAGAAAAATAAGTCACACATACCCTCTGTGATCATACTTACAAAAAGAAAACAAGCCCCAATCAATGCTGCTTTGACTGTCACATCTAAATCCACAGGAACGTGAATTCCAAAGTTGTCAGCATTTGTGAAGACATTATTTACAAATCCTGACCAATACTTTGAAATCTTCCCAATTGTAAGCTTTTCATTAATGGTTTTCACCTTTGAAAAGAAAAGAAGAAATATTTAACATTTGAAGGTGAAAAAGTTGTCTTACATTTCAGACCATGGTTACTTGATGGACAATTTGAATTATTTTATTCACTATCTCCAAATACAATGTCATGTTATTCATCCATTATATAACCATAGGTTTGTAGATTTAACTTTCCAGTTCACTCTTCAGAAATTTTGTTCTTCTGAGTTTCTAATCCGTTATAATTCCTGTTTTCCTTTTTGTAGGCAGGTGGAGACTGTAACTAAATAATTAAGGCCTGGCTACCACAAGATGGCAGCAGGTACATAGTTCAACTGTGTGATTGTGCCATGAAGATAATTCCTTTACCTGATTGTCCATATCTTAAGCCTGAATTCTCTATTTAAAAAACTATAAAAGAAGATATAGCTTAAAAGATTTTAGAATGAATTACATTTATTTCTAGGTATAATTTGTAAACCTAATTTCTATTGCTGAAGATTTTATCATTATTAAAACATTTAAATATTATCAACTATAGTTAAATCACATATTTCTATTATATTCAAACACTGATTAGGTCATTCCTTTCTAACTAATCTTTAATCCTATTTTTACATTAAATAACCCTCTGGGCTAAGGTACCACACAGGAAGTCAAGACCAATTTGACATCATAGTCTATCAATCCTTCTCAGCTAGAAGGAGGCCCCATTTCAACTTTATCAACTATTTGTTTGCCTACCATGTTTCCCAGCCTGATACTGAAAGTGATTCAATATAAACTTTCATTTTTTGTATGGTGTCAAAAGATAGAAAACAGAGTAACTTAGGACATCTCTACACCACGAATACCGAAACTCTTATGTTGAAGTTCTCCTCAATCATATCACTCTTAGGAAAGCCATGTACATCCTTTGGGATTGAAACAGCTTAGTTTGCGAAACTGACATTGTATTCTATGAGAATGGTGTTCCCTGAAGTCCTGAAAACTGCATGTCATAAGTGGGATATATGAAAGAATAAAAAATAAATATATACTTTAAATTAGACCATCTCCTCTACCCAAGATGCATGTCTAGGAGATGCTGTAAATATAGTTTATATTACTACAGACTGAATTTGCAACTATGTATTATATTTTAACAATCAGTTTACACAAATATGAGAGTAGATTGCTTTACAAAACTAATTTAGCAAGTCTTAAGAAGGTGACTTTAAAATTAGTGATATTTTAATAGAATGTGCTTTTGAAATGAGATCTGAAATGGAATATGCAACCACCCCCTATCAGTAACAAGATATATAATTTAGGTGGTTCTAAACCATAAATATTTTCTTTATACCACGTGCACTATCATTCTACATATACCAAACACACTAAAAATTGAACGCACTATTTTTCAAAATCATAGAATATTGATTATCTAAACAAGGCAAAGTTATATATACACAAAAAGATTGTTCTTCAAAGAGAGACACATTTAAAATAACAAGACATTTACTTTTTTTTTTTTTTTTTTGAGAAAGCAGGATTTATTGAGAGGACAGAAAAGGTCCCACAGTGGAGGGATCTGATGGGGTTGCCTGACATTTACTGTTTTAAGCAAGGAGGTATAGTCTTTTTTCCCTAAAACACATAAAGTTATATTTAGATAAATATACTTTCAGAAAAAGTTTCATTTGATAATCATTATATTCAATTTGTTAAAATTACTTTGAAAAATACTTGCACTGGTCTATGACAGATATCTTAGCCAAGTTAGTACATTTTTGTAATATTATTTTTAAAAAATCTTGAACTCAGTGTCTCTGGAATTATAAATTCTTATTCTTGGCATGTACAATATGGGCTTATTATATTATTTCACAAATAAGTCATTTTCTAAATTTATTTGAGATTATATGGATTTGAACACTTTACAAATTGAATTATGTTGCAAAAAATTAGGATCTGAATGAGAATGTCCTTCATTTTGTCAATCATACCTCAAAATCCACATCGCCAAAACAACCACATGTTGCACAAGGACCAACAATTTTCAAAATATCTTCTTTGTTTGCATTTTGGATTGTGAATTTAGGCAGAAAGGGGTGCCACTTCTGTGCAACATAACCAACTATAGTACCCGGAGGGGCTTGGATTTCTAACTGTAACAAGAGATAACAAAATAAAAATTTTAAAGGTTATCATATTTTAATTTTACTATAAAGTCAATTTACCTCAAAACAATATACTGTTATTGAATCATTTTTAGATTCTACAATCATTCTAAATATCTACTTTTAAGGATACAAAGCAGTGCGTTGAAAAAATATATTTTATAAAAAAAAGGAATTTACTGTGTAAATATATTTTGGCACTATGAACTAAAAGAAGATCTGCCCAGGACTATCTTTTGACCCCAGGACACCGACTTCTTTGCCATTTTATCCCAGGTACCACAACAATTGGTCAACCACTGATGCTGTTCCTATGCAGTAACTCATATCTATCCCCTCTCAGTTGTAGCCACAAAACACATCTATTAGCTGGGCTCGGTGGCTCAGCCTGTAATCCCACGATTTGGGAGGCCGAGGTGAGTGAATTGCCTGAGCCCGCGGGTTCGAGACCGCCCGGGCCAACTTGGCGAGACCTCATCTCTACAATAAATAAACAAAAATTAGCCGGTCATGGTAGAGAGCGCCTGTACTGGCTACTTGGAAGGCTGAGGCGGAAGGATCGCCAGAGCCCAGCGAGTTGAGGCTGCGGTGGCCGGGAGCAGCCACTGCACTCCAGTCTGGGTGACAGAGTGAGACTCCAACTCAAAAAAAACAAAAACAACAACAACAACAACAACAACAAAAAACATCTATGTCAAGCCTTTTTCAGTTTTTGAGTGTTCATAAGGTTTTTTTCTCTTTAGATCGCAAACTCTCCATTTCTCTATGTTTAATTAAAAACAAATACTTCTTATGGAGCTAAAGTTATTAAACATCAATTTGATTGTTGGTTCATGTCTTACAAACTGTTAGATTAGTGGTTGCATTTTTGCATTTTCAGGCATTAGTTTTCACCCTTACCTATTTTTTTATGCTTACATATTTATACCTGCTAAATCAAATCTGTTGTAAGGTAAGTTAGTGGTGGGTGCAAATTAAAAAAAAAAAGGTTTCTTTTAAACCAAGCCATTTCTCCATCATCTGATCTGATTTTACTTTTTCCTATTGAGTTCATAGCCTTATGTGTATGTCTGTAGTGTTCTTGAATCGACAATGGTGGTTTCAATTAGATGCTTAGAACTATATAGATTTGTTCTGGGATCACTTTAAAGTAACTGGCTTGTTTTGACCAAATTAAAAAATTACGAATGGGTATCAAGATACATCTTATGTTTAATTTGTGATATAGGCTTACTAGTAAATAAAATATCATTATCATACATTTTCAAATGGGCATTGTCTATTATTATACCATCTTGGGGCACACTAATATTAAATAGCCTCAGTTTATAGATAGAAATTCTTGGGCTTCAGGTATGAGTTCCTGAGAAGTCTTATCACTTAGTCTGGTGCTTGGATATAAATAGTTGGAGAATTCGCTTCAATATATTGTTAGAAACTTCTCTAAATTTTGTTCGTATATATTTTCATCACCTTAAGAACAGGCCTTATACACAGGTCTTCAGAACTCCTGGATTAAGTTCCATCTCTAGTATTCATATTTCTGGTTGTGTGATCATGGCCAAGTCACCTCTACTCTTTCCTTGACTGTAAAATGTAGAGAGTAAAACCTGCTCTTCCAGCTCATACAGCTGTCATGATATCAAAGCCAGTAAAGTAAATGAGAGTTGTGTGTCAATTTAATGGAAGTGAGTCAATAAAAGCTATTATTATAGGTCTATTAAATATTAATACAAATCTATGGTATATTAAAATAAAATAATGGAATTATTCCCTCTAGAACAACACCACCGTCTTTTTTTAAAGATCATTGGTTCTTGCAGAATTTATTTCTTTGCAGCTGAATAACATCATCTTTGTGAAACCTTGAGACTTGTCATAAATGGGTAAATGCAATGTGAGATGCTGCACTAAGTAATAAGACCTAACCAAGAGAACATCTTGGAGAAGTTTAGCATCCCTTAGCACTTCCTGGACTTTGTTACAGTTAGAGAGGACAAAGGGTATGTTTTCCAAGTGGTGGGACTTGTAGACATCACAATTACATGGGTAATACAGAGATTCAGGAGTTGTTTCTCATTTACACAACGCATGAGCTGTCTTCACCAATTAACATCATGGAAACCACCATGGTTTTTGGTTGGAAAGAAAAAAAAATAGTGAATCACCAAATTCTCAAGCTGTTCTGATCCTAAAGGGGCAACATGATAATTCAAACAATCGAAACCTTTATTGACCCATAGCTCCAGATACAATCTATTTAAAGAAATAATTGCTAATTTCTTTCTCTCTTCCTTCCTCCCTCCCTTCCTTCTTTCTTTCCTTCTTTCCAAAAAGACACCCAGAGCCAGTGACTTACCTCTTGCAGATAGCAAGGGCACCAGCAGCTGTTACACCTCAAGGGCCTATTTACTGTAATCACCTCTTGACCTGAGTTATCTGTGATCCTCAGGGTGCAAGATCGCAGCGTGGAACAGAAAGTACGATTGAAGCAGATGCTTTCCTCCACTGCAAAGTAAATTCTTTGTCCCAAGCTGTTTTTAATCTCATATTTGTTGGAGGTCTCAGTGCCAAGTATCACTAATGGAGCAAAAAAGAATTCATAAAATAATTTTTTTTTGCTTAATCTTTGTGTGTGTGTGTGTGTGTGTGTGTGTGTGTGTGTGTATGTGACAGGTTCTCACTCTGTCACTCAGGTCGGAGTGCAGGAGCATGATTACTGCTCACCGCAGCTTCAACCTCTTGGGCTATGGTGATCCCTCAACCTCAGCTCCCTAACTAGTTGGGACTTTAGACGCAGTCACCATGCCCAGCTAATTTTTAAATTTGTATCAAAATCTTTAAATAAGTAAAAGGCGGGGTCATTAAAAGAAAAACCAAGTGACTGATTGTAGAGTATATGGTATCTTCTTCACAGAATCTATTTTCATGCACTAAATTTTGAAGACTTAGCCATGAAAATAGAACTGTTGAGAACAAAGTTATAGAACGAACTAATTTTGATTCCAGATTTATGACCTACTTGTAGTATCATGTAGTATCACTTTGCAATAAAGAACCAATGCTGTAATGAAAAGAAATCTATTAATTAAATGATAATTCTATTATTGTTATGTAAGTTATTGGGACAACTTACAGTGATACTAATAATTTTGTCTAAAACCTCTATCTGGTAATATATCTATAGTGGCATGCTATCCTGCTATCTATTTCGATTTTGACATATTTTTAGGAATAATATAGAACATTATAAGCAGAAAACACTCAAGTAATTTGAATCCAGTTAGTCAGTCTTGTTCATATGTAAATTGTTAAATGATTTGCCTATTTGGTGAATTACTGTTAAAGTGATAAAAGAGTGGCATTTTGTCTTCATGGGTTTTTGTTATTTATTTTCAACTTTGACTTACATTTTTTAAATTATTAAGAAATTTAAATGATTAGAATCCATGGAAGTGATCAAATCCCTTTAATTATTCTAAGACTAAATATAACATCAGAATTTTAAAGGCAATAGCTGGATGTGGTGGCTCACACCTGTAATTCTAGCACTTTGGGAGGATGAGGCAGGAGGATTGCTTGAGGTCAGGAGTTTGAGACCAGGCTGGGCAACAAAGCAAGATGCCAGTCTTTACAAAAATTATAAAAATTAGCTGGGCATGCTGGCAAATATCTGTAGTCCCAGCTACTTAGCAAGCTGAGGCAGGCGGATCACTTGAGCCCAAGAGTTTGAGGCTGGGGTGAGCCAGGTTAGTGTCACAGCATGCCAAATTAATGGCAGTATTACCAGACTTAGAGAATCTTATGCTTTTTAAAATCTAAATCAGAATAATACTTTTACTTACAGCTTTTATTTTATTTTATTTTATTTATTTATTTTTTCTGAGTTGGAGTCTCACTCGGTCGCCCAGACTGGAGTGCAGTGGCCGCTCCCGGCCACCGCAGCCTCGACCTGCTGGGCTCCGGCGATCCTTCCGCCTCAGCCTTCCAAGTAGCTGGAATTACAGGCATGCGCTACCACGCCCGGCTGATTTTTTGATTTATTGTAGAGATGAGGTCTCGCCAAGTTGCCCAGGCGGGTCTCGAACCCGCGGGTTCAGGCAATCCACTCACGTCAGCCTCCCAAAGCGCGGGATTACAGGCTGAGCCACCGAGCCTGGCTCAGCTTTTATTTTAAAAAGTAGACCTAGTGCTCTTTTTGATCTAATTCTATTCTGCACAAATAACTTTATTGTTTATAATATGTTTAGATGTAGAGAAACTTCAGTATTAATAAATGCAGAATATAATGTACTTACTTCCAAGAAGCTCCACCTGCTGGTGTATAATTATCAGGTCTAACTGTTAAAAGATGACATAAAGGAAATAAAAAGTATTACATCACAGCACCTTGAAAACCTTTGGAGATATTATAATTTTTTTTTTTTTTTTTTGGAGTCTCACTCTGTCACCCAGACTGGAGTGCAGTGGCCACTCCTGGCCATCGCAGCCTCGACCTGCTGGGCTCCAGCGATCCTTCTGCCTCAGCCTTCCAAGTAGCTGGAACTACAGGCACGCGCTACCACTCCCGGCTCATTTTTTATTTTATTGTAGAGATGAGGTCTCGCCAAGTTGCCCAGGCGGGTCTCGAACCCGCAGGTTCAGGCAATCCACTCACCTCAGCCTCACAGAAGCGTGGGAGGCAACCACCAAGCCCGGCAACGAGATATTACTATTAAACTATTTACTACACTAGATAAAGTTAGGTGATCTTCACCTCCTCTATTAGGAAAACGGTTGAAAACAGCTCACATTTTATAAGGCAAAAGAAAATAAAATGTGTTTGATTCAAGTAAAAATTCACAAGAACTCTGAAAACTTCAAGGCAGATTTGCCCAAGTATAAGAATAGGAATAATGGTTAACTTCATGTTAATTCTCTCTGTGATAATGAGAAATTAGAGTAGATCTTGAAAACTGGAGTTTGAGATTTTAAAATAATCTCTGAAAAATAATGCCTAAGATGCTTTAACATTCCTGATTTTTTTTTTTTTTAAGAAATTAAACAACAAAATAATGATTTGAACGTCTGGCTTTTCCTTTCGACCCTTCCCTTACTATAATGTCATTCTGTCATACTGCAACTCATTCCTCTCGGTGATGAAATATCTTTATTGAAGCTGAAAGGATATTCTATAAATTTTTCTCATTCGCACTTTCCTTTGAACTAGAAAAAAATGAAATGCTGTTGATGCCTACAAAATACCATTTTAAGCAGAACAAATGTTATGTCACAGAATGTATAACATAACATTTGCCCTATGTAATTAAAAATGAAGTTAAGTTAGAGATAAAGTATCCACAGATAGTTGAGAAATGACTGCATTAAAAAGTATATAATGCAAACTATTTTTTGGAAAGGAAATTAGAAGGATGAGTTCTTAGAATAAAATTTATTTGTGTTTATTTTTCATTTGATATTCAGTACTTGAAGATCCACTAAGGCAAAAGCATGAGCACTGAATATGCTGCTGATCAATGTATTTTCTAATGCTCCATTTTTAATTTTGCCTTAAAATTTTCTTTACTTTAATGACCCTTCGTGTTAATAAACTCACCAGTAACTGTTAAATCGAGCCAGTCATTACTAAAATGTGGTACTGATCCCAGAAAATTTGAAGTTACATTATTTCCTTCATTTTCCTTGTATTTCTTGAGGTGGAGGTCAAACTGATATCTTTTCCTCTATTTCAGTCTTATTATTGACCAGGTGTGGTGGCTTATGCTTGTAATCCCACAACTTTAGGAGGCCAAGGCAGAGAACTGCTTGAGCCCAGGAGTTTAAGACCAGCCTGGGCAACACAGTGAGGCCTTGTTTCTAAAAAAAAACAAAAAATATCAGCGGGGAATGGTGGTGTGTAGCTACAGTTCCAACTACTCATGAGGCTGAGGAAGATTGCCTGAGCCCAGGAGGTCAAGGCTGCAGTGCCACTTCACTCCAGCCTGGGCAACAGAGTAAGACATTGACTCAAAAAACAAAAATAATAAAATAAATCTTATTATCGATAAAAGAATACATGGGGCATCTTTATGTAAGATTTACAAAATATTCTTCCAAAAATAATTTATGATCTGAGGTATTCCAAAATCTATATGAACAATTATGACAAAGGCTTTAAAAAAATTAGAATGAATCTTTTGTAGTGGATAGCATTAATTGTTTTCTTTTGAGAAAAACAGAGTGTTATGGAAAAAGAAGGGGTACGCCTCTGAAAGGATATGATAATCAGTAGATATGTATAGAAGGAACGTAGAGATGGATATCTATAGGGTCAAGTCTTGAAATTTAGTCTTGAAATTTAGAAATTAACACTTGAGATCCACCTCACGATGAAAAAGAAGTAATATCCCTCTAATATTCAACAATAGCAATTGTTTACTGAATGACTACCATCAGTAGTCACTGTGCTAGAGATATTTTGACAAAGTGTCTGATTTAATCCTCACAAAAATGCAGAGAGAGAGAGAGAGAGAGAGAGAGAGAGAGAGAGAGAGAGATTCATTTTATATGTAAGGAAATAAATCTAGAGAAATTATGTCATTTGCCCAAGATCATAGGGCTAGTAAATGGTCATTGATTTTGACATGCTTTCTACTCTGTTATTTTACTGACAACACTACACTAAACTTAGGAAATAAGTCATCTTAGGTGACAATATGGAACTTGAGTGCCTTTCCTCCCTATTTTCTTTACTCTTATACTCACCTCATATTGTGTAATAATATTTAATTTGCTTTCTGTGGGCAAATCTCCTGAATTTGAGGCTCTTGTTTTTGGTTGTTCTTGTAGTTTCTTCTCAGTAACCTCGAGCCACTTATACACCATGGTCAAATGGGCCTTTTTCAACTTTTTCTATTGATTGGTAGACTAGAAATTGCCGAAAAGTTTAAACAGACTGAGTTACATATTTAGGTATCAGGGCAAGTGAAGCACTCCTTAAGTTTGAGAGCTGTAGAAATGAAAATACAAGGACAGCCTTCGATATACAGCTTAAGAATTAATTTTTAAAATCAGATTTACAGGTATCAGCGATTCCATTTACCATATGTATTTCAAAATAAAGTGTATATTTACATGTTTTTGCAGACTTTAACTATCTTACCTATAGGTGACTAAGCTATAATAATTAATTTTCCTTTGACATTATGGGAAGAAGTTATTGATTGTTATGAACATGTACACCTAATCTGGAAAGAATCCATTGATTTTGTTCTTAGATCTAATCTACATTTTATATATATATAAATACATATATATATTTTATATATATATAAATACACATATATATAGCTAAACATGCATACAGGTTTATTTTTAAACTTTTTATAGAAACAAGATTCTCAATAGTCATTAGACAAACTTGATTAAAAGGGAATGGGTGATTTTAAAATACTTTATTTAATTTTTTTAATTTAGGAAAATGTTATTGTGTGTTTCTCTGTTTATTGATGCATATGTTATTTCCAAATGTTCAAGATTTTATTAAATTCTTGTGGCTTTTATATAAAAGTTAACACCTAAAAATTCATTTTATATTGTGTCTCGTACAGATTCATTGTATAACACTTTAAAAATGTTCATTTATCCTTTTATATGTGCACTGCTTTAAAGCACGTAAGTGTTCTTTTAGTATAAAGTTAGTAAATTATCTTTCCCTTAGGAAATATGCAACAATTGGTGGCATATTTTTGTTTTCTGAGAAAGATTAGGAAAAGTTTATTTTTGGAAAAATTTATTTTAGAACTGAAACCAATGGGCTCATATCTCTATTTATGGAATGTAAAAAAATGTATTCATGTCAAGCATCTGGCTCCGGGTGTGTCATCATTCATGGATGGAAGAAGAATATGTGATGACCATATGTGATCATCAAACCTCAGCCCTCTGGCACTGGTATATCACTTTTATACTTGGCAAAACCTTGTCTGACAACATTTTCAAACAGCTTGCAGCAGTTAATCAACTCTAGTCAGCTATTACAGCTGATCCTTTCTGCAGATGGAAGATGGTAGGTTCGCTTTTCCAGCTCTTTTACATATCTCCCTGAGCTCTCCAGTCTCTGAAGTACATTTGTCTGCCAGTGGGTTTCTGGAGAAGGCATCTGCAATTATAAACATTTTCCTAGGAACATATGCTGCATGCAGCTTAAACCCTATCAGGCATAACAGAAATCTCTTGTACCTTAAGGGAATTAACGCAGAGATTTGATTTTGATAAAGGAGATAGACTTTATAGTTTGAAAGAATGCCAAACAAGCTGAAAATTGCAGCAGATGTGCTGACATCTCAATATCAGTGTATTTCTAATCTTTTGTAGGATAAACTACAAAAGCAATGATAATATACAAACATGAATAGCAATAGCTGTTTATGTGCCTTATAATTCAGATGGCAATATTTTTGATTGATTTACTATAAGGCTTGAATCCCTGCCCACCCTACAATAACTAGAACAGTGAGACTATACCGAATAGCAATATGATCTTTCCAGCAAATTGGCCTGGAGATGGAGCAGTATCAGGAAACAGCAATGTTCACTTAACTTGCTTTCTCTTCTATTTCTGTCCTCCTTTTAATATTCAGTTGAAGGTGCTGAACTCTAAGAACATTGCAGCAATCTCTCCCAGGTATTTTGAACCATAACAATCTTTCTCTCCTTTTACACCTGAGCAAATTACAACCATGTGTTTACCTGTCGTTTATAAGCAGACTTGCACTTTATTATTAACTTTTTATTTTTGTCTTACCAATTATGTGCAGAATGTTTGAGTGAGAGGCACTAGGTTTCATGCTTTTTATATGCCTTGAGTATAGCAGGTACTCAATAAATATTTTTTAATTAAATAGGTGACTAGACATATTAGAGAATTCCTTGAGGATAAATTTGCTGACACCTTGAGCAATGGACAGGAAGTAGATAAATGCTAAACAGCTCTATCAAAAATATTTAGTCTTGTCACTCGGTCAAATAAGGAAAATAAAATGAGTGTAAAAGAAACAAATTTCTTCCTAAATAGTAGAAATTCATAAAGTCAATATTTTATGATTTTATTTTTTATAATACCTTTTTCACTCCAGTAAATTATGGGTTGAAGTCTTTCAATCTTGGTTGAAAAGCAAGAAACTAAGTTTGTATTAATTTTAGGGAGGAAATGTGTGTAGGAATATAAAGATAAGAAACACCTGGCTTAAATATTCGAGACCAGGAGGGAGACTGACTGTTGGCAGGAAACTGGTTGGCGGAGGGAGTCTCGCGGGCCATACTTGGTTCCCTGGGTTGTTAGATGAGGCAGGAAGACTTTGATCTGGGTCTGGAGCTCCAGGAAGAAAACCAGGCAGACCTCGACTTCTTTGGTTCTGAGCATCTGCAAGAAAATGAAAATCCCAACCCACATTTAACTTTAGGCCCTACCATGTAGTTCTTCTTAAAATATTTGTTACTTCTTAATTCAGAGAGAGTCTCATTTTAGTTTAGTGTCCTTTCCTTTTTTTTTTTTTTGAGTTGGAGTCTCACTCTGTCGCCCAGGCTGGAGTGCAGTGGCGCACTCACAGCCACCCCAGCATCGACCTGCTGGGCTCGGTGATCCTTCCGCCTCAGCCTTCCAAGTAGCTGGAACTACAGGTGCATTCTATTATGCCCTGCTAATTTTTGTTTTTTGGATTGATTGTAGAGATGAGGGCTCACCAATTTGCCCGGGCTGGCCTTGAACCCGTGGGCTCAGTGAATCCACTCTCCTCAAGTCTCCCAAAGTGCTGGGATTACAGGGTGAGCCACCGAACCCAGCCCATTTTTACTGGTCACTGACACTACCGCCTGACCACAAGGTTAGAAAAAAATAAATGTGGAAGACTGCTGATAGTAGTTGCGGGAAAAGGTTGAATAATTTGGCTAAAATAAATGACTTAGATAATATGTATATAGAGACTTATACAGATTTATTTATATATACTATATATTTATATAATATATAAAATGTATTTACTTTAAAGCAAGTAACATCTGTTCAAAGACATAAAGGGTTATAAACTCAAAAGAAAAATAAATGATAACAGGTACCAGATACTCTGTCTTCATTAAAGACTAATCTTAGACTTAGGTTTTTAATCACAATATATATATTTTTTACTTTATTTTATTATAGAGGTTAGGATCCAAGTCTGGATTGGGCACACATAAATAATGTATGTGTGGATGAATTTTGGGCCTTTCTGATTGTTTTTCAAGGCATATTCTCCCTTTCCCAAATCGTATGGTGGTGCCTCAGAGTTTCTGAGAGTATGTTTTATCAATCATACTGTTATGGTCAATTTAATTCAGTCGTTCTTTTACTTTAGGCTTTATCAGAGTCACCTGGAGGATTTGTTAAAACACGGATTGCTGTTGTGAATAGACCTTGAGAAATTATTATAATACTGTAAGAAAAGGATTAGCGTTAGTGGGAAACTGTGGGGG